TGAAGACATGTCACCTTCTCCTTGAGAGAATCTCTTGGAGTTCTAAGAATCACTTTTACTGAAACATTTTAATGTCATATTTTGAAAGGTAATACCATATATATAATATATACACACACACACACACACACACACATATGACATTTCAGTTCCTATTATCAACTTGTTATTAAATTAAAAATGATGTGAACTATTAATTACAGTGATTTTATATGTACTTTTCACCGGGGGCAGTTTTTCAGAAAGAAAAACGACTCCGATATTTCAATTTTTAGAAACTCTGAACAACTATTTGAACAGTTACAATTTTATAGTCTAACTGGAATAATAGTCACATTTTTTGTTAGAATATTTCAAGCAGTTAGATGATAGCAAGAGGTTTGCACATATTAATGAAAAAGGAGAGTTTCTGAGGCTTAAGCCTAAATGAATGTCTCATGTATCTAGGAAGACACTGGTACTTTAAAGTCTTTGATTTTTAAATATCATTTTACTTGTTCTATCTTCCCATCATTCACTGTGAAGCCAAATACTGTGTACATCAAAGATCTTCTGGAAGAAGTTACTTCAGCCTACAAAGCATCTGTAATTAAACCTATTTGGTCCTATTTCCCCAAATACCTTTACAAAATATTTTCCAATAATTCCTCATGTAACATAACGTGATTGTAAAACAGGCAAAATTATTACATATCAAATATCACAGTGATGAGAAAAACAAAATTATCACAATTGCCTGAGAGATAAGAGGCAGGTGAGCATAGTGAAGATTTAAAGAGGGAGGGCTGTCTATGACACCCACAAACACAGGCAATGTGAAGGCGACAAGGCAGTTTCAGAAAGTGGAGAATCTAATAAACAATACAAACTTTATATGACAGACATTGAAGAAAGTGATGAAAATTCTAGGAACTATCAAAAGAAATTTAATGCAACCATGATATATTAATTTTCAGTATGGTATTTCCTTATAAATTGTTACAGTTAATCTCTTCCATTATACTTTTTCACACCAAATAAGCTATTAGGTGTTTATATATGTGGGTCTTATTTATTTCACTTAGGAGTATGTCCTCAGTATGTATCTATTTTCCTATGCATGACTCTAATTTCTGAAAAACTATAATTGTACATGAGATCCTAATGATATAATTGGCAATGTGAAATAGGAATAAAAGGGCTAAAGGTGTAGGGGAAGTGGGAAGGGTAGGGAAAAGGTAATAAGGGAAAAGAAAAAATGAGAAAATGAAAAAAATGAAATAAAGTATTTATAAATAGGGAAGGGAGGAGAGGGTGAAGGGAGGGCAGGGATAAGGGGGAAAAATGAGAACCAAGACCTGTCATGTAAAGGTACAAGATCCCACTGATGAATGTAACTGCACTGTATACCTAAAATGTAGCAATCAATTCAATGAGAAAAAAAATCTCTTCCAAATTAGCATGTGCAAGAAATATGTCTCTTATTTTTTTCTCTTTTTGGTACCAGGGATCAAACTCTGGACTTTGTGCTTGTAAGGTAGGAGGCAGAACCACTGAGCTAAATCCCCGGCCCTCTCCTATTTAGATATTAATATCTTTGTACCTGAATCTAATTATATGCAGAATATGTTAAGACATCTAGTTACTCAGAGATGGTAAAGTCAATGAGACTTTAAGTAAACAGCGACAAGAGGTGCTCTGTATTTACTCAGTTTCCTTCTCTGAGAACATAACTAAAATGAATTTCCCCGTAATTCACAAATTTGATGAAATCACATGACTAAATTTTGCAAAGGCAATGCCATCAAAAGAGATAGCTATCACTTCTAGGTTGATGAATAGAAACCCACAAGAAACTTTTCATGACCTTGATTTTCCTCCCTTTGGGTCAAATGCAGAATAAAATAATGTCATGTTAGATGGCTTTGTTCACAGTGAAAAGAATTTGGGTTCCAGAGTATATTTTAATGATAAACTGTCTTCCACCAACTAACATGAGCTGGACAGTAATACAATTTGAATGATGTTGGATAATCCAGCCTTAAAATAATGGTGGGTCAGCAGCAAGTCAGTGATACAGTTTAATGATATAAAGAGTAAGAGGGAGAAACAAGTTTGGGACTTTGAATTACCTAGTGTTAAATCCAGAAATTTATATTTAGCAACTTTTGAAAACATTTTCAATTGGAATTATAGTGCCTTCAGATGCCATCAGTGGAAATGTGATACTTTTAATTCATCCCTGAGGAGAATTTGTTCTCCTTCTCCTCCTTCTCCACCCCCTGACCTGCCGTTTCCTCCTCCTCATTCTTGGCCTTCTCCTTTTCTATCTTATTAGATTATATTAAACCCAAAACCTTCACATTGAGCTACACTCTCAGCTCAATTTTAGAATTCGTTTTGAGATAGGGTCTTCTCAGTTCCCTAGGGTAGGCTCAAACTTATGTTCCTTCTGCCTTGGCATCTCAGAACACTGGAATTATAGTGCAGTGTGTGTTGCCTCACTCAAGACTGACTACAACCTGAGTGGAGGCAGCCCAAGATGACAGCACAAACACCTCAAAGACACAGGGGACTCACATAGACTTTTTTTGCAGAAATCAAAAATCCACTTACTAAAAACTCTGATTTCTATCAGTACAAAATCCTACATGTTCAAGTATGAATTTAGAACTATAGAACATGACAAGAGGCACAAATCTTCAAGAATCTGGCTTAATACTTTAGTAGATCTCCCTGGCAACACTACAGAAGTGGAATCACCATGAACTATGGCACTGGTTTTCCACTGTGACTACATATTCAAATTAACTAGAATTGAAACAAATCTGGGACCAATAGTCAGAAATTCTGAATTGATTGATCTTAGTAAGGGAGGATGTTTCAGGTAGAGTTGCTGTTATTCTTGATTATTCTCTGGATGCCTTTCTTAAATAAGTAGGACTGCAAATTTTTGGCATACACTATTTACATTCTGATCTATGTACAGTAATGTAAATTGATTTTTGTGAATCTATACTGTTTATCAGAAATATTTTTAGCCAATCTCATGAGATCACATATAAGTAAGTATATGCATACAAATTTATGAATGTATAAAAAGACCAAAATGTATTTATTAATTTCTACTAGAAAACATTATACGGCAATTAGATAAGCTTCACTTTACATGAATACTATGGTCAGTCACTCTAATTTTTCTCTCATTGGTTCACTTGTAACCTACCCGTGTGTCCCAAGCACAGTAAATGCCAATTCTCTGCCATCTTCATTTCTGTAAATAAAATATGATCAGTAAACTTAGTGTAGTTTTAGTGCAAAATTAAGTTAAGTGGCTATTGTTTCTTACAAACAATGTTAAAGACCTGGATGTAATTTATTTTAAATACTTTTTCAAATACTATTCGGAAGGGGATAAAAATCACAGGAATTTTTGAAGACAAGTCTCCCTGAACTATAGAAAAGTGTTGCCTGAAGATCTGAGCCATTAACGAGTTCAAGCATCAGAATACTAGAATATTCAAATGTTAGAAATGACGTGACTCCTGTCATATTCACTAAAATAGCACATTTTTTAATGATTCTTATCCTGACCGTTTCAGTTCAGACATGTCCCTACTCCTTATTTCCCTCTGTATGCCTTGTTTTTATAATCAATGTATGTTTTCCATCTTCTAACAACCACAGTTAAAAACTGTAAATGTACCACATTTTGGGTTTTCTTTGCACTTCAAAACATAGAGGATTATTGGTACTACAAACATCGCTGATCATTCCTTATGACTCTAAGTGATGATAAGGGGATGTTTTTCCCTGTGGGATGTAGGCTAAAGCTTTGGTCATCTGGAAGCTAAAGCAGCCTGAACATTAACATATTAAGATGACTCCTTTGGAAAATCAGAAGTAGACAGCAATCAGCTACGAGCTCAGCCAAACCTTCCCACAGGGAGTCCTAAAATGGCCTTTGGACTCCATCCTTCCTGTAAGAAGCCGCTTTCACGCAGGGATGGACATTACTTGTGGTCCAGTAATAGAAGATGCACTGTATCATTTTCCTTTCTTCAGGTTTTACTGATCTATTTTCCCCCCTTTGGTTTGGGGATGGATTCCAAGGCTTTTACCTAGACTAGGTTTGATTTGAGATGGTCCTGCCTCAGCTTTCCATAGTTCTGGGATCACAGCTGTGTATTATTACACTGGGCTTCCTTTCATTTCCTTAGTCAAAGTAAGTCACTGAGCCTATTCAGATTCAAAGGGCAAGATATCATATTTGTTTATGGAAGAAGTGCACAAGAATTTCCAGGACCACACAGTCCACTGCATTTACTTATTATATTTCAATTTTATTAGGTGTGAGCTTCAAGAGAGAAAGTGATCTTATCTGCCTCATTCACTATTGTCTTGGAAAAGTAGAATTAAACAAGGCCAACAAATATTTGTTTATCTTTAATATATAAAATTCATAAATATTGAAACTGAAATTTATAATCTCAAACTTATGATGATTCAGATTCACAAATAAGTGAAATATGTTTATAATTCAGACAAATGATAGACAATAAAATACATATATGCAGTGTTTGAGACAGATACCAATTAAAGTGTAGTTTTGTTGTTGAAGTAGCAACTAAAATAGATGTACTAAGTAAGTTTAGTGAGACAGTAAGACTTAGGACATTGTTTATTTCAATCAAGATATCAAAGAATTCATATGACAATAAAAACTGGATCCTTTCAACATGTTGTTAAACAAAATCAACTGTTTTCCCTTAAATGCATAAAAAAAGCTGTTACAAAACTTATGTTTTTGAAGATTCAAAATAAACCAAAAATAATCATTATTTTATTCATAAATTATTTTATATCTTTCATGATATTTGCATATTGAGAATAAAGTGATTGTTCTTTAGTTTATGCAGTTATGAAACTCATCTTCCATAATTGTGCAATGCCTCACTTTTGATGTATGTGTTGGTAAATAGCCCAGGGTTTAAATAAACATTTGCTATTCATCATTTTAGGAAATAGGACCCATTGATTTATAAATGTATTCATAAAGCAGAGCTGGAGAAGTCATGGGTGAGTAATTTAAAAAGGTATTCTCTATTTATTAAATACCATATGCTCTACATACACAGCTCTAATGATTGCATATTTCAATTTTCATGAGAATATAAACAAAGAGATAATGAAATATAATTGATCATTCTATGTATCATTACTACTGTGTGCAATACACTATGCTACATAAAACAGTCAAACTTCTTTCAAGGAATGAGTAGGTATATACACTTGCTTTGTGGAAGAAAATATAAGCTCTGAATTTTAATGTTCCATGATTACAAATATGTAAATGTTACTTCACAAAGACCCATTGTAGGTTGCTTCTAAAATGAAATCAACAGAACTGATAACAATAGGTAACTTTTGGAAAAAAACTCCTTTTCAATTCATTTCTTTTCCTTAGTGTACTGGAGTTTACATGTATATATGTAAACAGATACATATATATTCATATTTGTAATTATCTTTAAATATATTACACATTAAATTAGTGCTATATCCATATATACATAGATAACAAAACTGTATTCAAGGAAAACAGTGAAATTGTCTAAACTGTAATTAATCAAAATAATCAACTTAATCTAAATCAAGTAAGCACATGCAACAGACACCTGCGAATTAAGATACATTTCCCATAATTCTTAAACTGGACCTTACGTTTATGCGAATATGCTTTTATCTTTAGTCTATTCACCAAAGTTATGGCCCACAACTGGCCATTCTGAGGCAAACACGGCACCCTATCTTCAAGAGCCATCAATTTCCTTCCTTCAATTCTTACCCCCGTTTTCACCCATATATTAACTTCTTGTACAGCCTAAAGGAACTTTGCTTTACCAGCTGACATCCTAAAAGTACTCCCCTGTTATCTTCTAATTTTTGCCATGTAACTACATGTTTATTTGAGAGGTTGTTTTTGAATAAGAACAATACATAGAACCTGTTTGCACAGTGCCTTGCATGCCGATAAATGGACACATCTAAATTCCAAAACCTTTTAGAATTTCTTTTCCAGAAACAATTAACTCAAGTGATTATATGTAAATTTGACTTAGCTATTTAAAGATAATTACCCAAATGAAATATTCTCTAATTTTGTTACTTTTCTGTTTCAAGAATTATTTATGTATAAGCCATTCAGTCAAAATAACATTTAATGTGAATATCTTTTATTTTTATTTTTATTTTTTTTAACCGGAGATCGAACTTGGGACCTTGTGCTTGAAAGACAGGCAACAGAACCACTGAGCTAAATCCCTAGCCCAAATATTCTTGAAAATGTAATATATTTTCCATTTCATCATAACTGTATCAATATTTAGATTAGAGGTCACTTGATGGTCAGTTTTGTTCAAATGCTGTACCAAAATATCATCATTTCAATCAATGATGTTTGCATTAAAAAAAATCAGAAAACTATCAATAGTCAAACTATTACATGATTCTAACACTTCATATTCATCTCACCAGTCACACTGTTCAAAGCCGTGGGTTGCCTGACTCTTCCAAAAACAAAATGAAAGCCTAAGTTATTTGAATACATATACTTCACACGCACACACACACACATACACACACACGGTTTGGTTAAAGGTTGAGTGCCTACTCTGTTCATGATAGGAATGGGAATGAGTTATTGAGAAAAATTATTGAGAAAAGTTTCTAAAGTAATTTTCGCACTCAAAAAGACCAAGATATAAATTTGTTAAGAAAATAAAATATCATTTTAGGATGCAGATTAAGTTTTCATTGTTAAATATAATCTTGGTAAATTGAAAAAAAAGAATAGCAATGTTTGCGTTTTTGTACCTGCAACTTCAATATTTGTCTCTAGTCCCTTAAATATTCATTAAGAATCTACAGTCTGAAATGTACCTTCACTCTAGTTTCTCAGTCAATCCAGTACGTGTGCAGGGTGCAAGCATCCTCCCCATGCTTACCATTCAAAAAGATCGATGAGTACCTCAGCAAATTGAGGGCCCCAGCAATTCTTAGGAAGAATACCCAAGCAGAATGAAAGGACGTGCACCTAGCACATTTGTAATAGAAGGATTTGTAAATGGAATCTTCAAGAGCAAGGAGAATACAGCTTGGCAAAGACTCCAAAGTGGAGGTGCCAATCCATTACAGGGGCTGGATGATTGAGTGCAAAGAGTAAAAAGGCAAAGAGCTCTGGAAAGGCAAATGTGTAGTGAACTACAGTGAACTTTGCAATCTGTACTACAGACTTGCAAAATTAATCCAAAATCGAATGGGGAGTGATTAAATATTCTAAAGCCCAAAACAAGACAGTAAGGAACATTAAGTGCAGTTTTAGAAAAGTTACTGTGTAACACAGAATATATGTAAAAGAGGTTCATTCGTTGAGGCTACTGTAATATTTAAGACCAATTATAGTGATAGCCAAACTAGGCAATCAATGATGGAGATAAAAAGATGAAGATGGACTTCAGAACTAGTCAATAAAAAGAACCACTGGCCTTATTAATATACTAAAACATTATTTTAACTAGTAACAGTCTTTTGTAAGTGCTCTTTATAGACTGCTAAAATATGCATAGGGAAATGAAACATGTAGCCATATAATTTGAAATATCAATTCCATAAATCAAGACTAATTAAAATTTAATTTACTTTTATCTGTTAAATCAGCCTTATTTGAGGTCATTGATAATTAGCCTATATTTCATTTACTTAATGAGAAAAATCTGAAATATGTTAACTTCAGTACAAATATACCATAGTAGTAGTGGAGAGTGTTATTTCTAAGTTTGTGCGTTTGTTTTGTTAGAAATGTTATAGTCATATCAGACTTACTTAAATAGAAGCTAATGAAATTTATTTTGGCATAAAAACTAAGACATAAAAGTCCTGTTGCTTGTATTATTTATCTTGTATTTTAAAGGAAAATTGATCAGATGATAAATGAAAAAAACTGAAGTTTAATACATCAATATATAAACTAATATATTATGTCTCTTCTTCCACCACATGGTTTTTTCTGTTTTAACTCTCTCAGCAGTTTTATTAACATGAAAAAAAAATGAAAACATCCTTTACTTTATAAAGAAAAAAGTGTTTGATCATTTTGCCTTAGAAATCCTCAGAAATGATCTTTGTTTTTATACCACATTAAAATCTGCAGATTTCAAATTAGATTTTTGCAAAAAGGTTTTATGCTCAACAGTGAGAAGCATTTTGCTGTAATGGGTCATTCTGCAGTCACAGTAGAAACTTTTTGTAGTAAAGGAAAATACCATGAGATGACATAGGCTGCCTGAATATGGAGATCAAGCACGTCTGTTTATATGAGTATAAAAATGCAAACAGTAGCAAAAAAAGATAAGAGAGTTGACTTAAAAAACTCACAATGAGGAAACTCTTCACAAACCTAATTAAATAATAGTGTCCAAGGGAGAACAGATCATATCTTCTTTGTTATTTAAATCTTGTGTTGTGTTTCATGTTATTTCTTTTTAAAGCTTTGCATTTTTGCCAATACCTGCTTTTCTACTCACTTTTTTCTTTGAAAAATTCCAAAATAGAAATTCTTTGTTTAATAAAACACCTCAAGTCCTTGAACATAAACTACATATGTGTTTACTTTTAATATTTCTTTTTTAATTTATTTCTTTATCTATGCACAACTGTTATATGAGAGGGTAATTTGGGGCCATCATATCATTTTGTGTTTAGATTTTATTTTTAATAGGTGAAATTTTTCTAAATAACCATCTACCATAAAAAAGGACAAGGTATTTCTTTTTTGTTTTTTCAGCTTTAATTGAGTTTATTGGTACATTTTAGGGATACAGTACAGTTGCATTCATTGTTTGGATCATGTACCTCTACTTCTTATTACATTGAACCAAAGTGCTTAATGTGAAATTTTGTATCTTGAACTAAGCCCAGGCAAGAACACTGGAGTATTTTAAGAAATAAGTCAGTGATATTACTTAAGGAAGTTTTTTGATGATGGGTTGGGAAAGGTCCATCTTTAGTCCAAACAATTCTGAAACACTCAGCTATAATTTGGAAGATGCTATCACTCACAATGTACTTATCTATGCATATAAGTACTTCAAAATTTCTATGTATTAGGGAGATAATGCATGGGATAGTTTTTATGCTTCAATCAGTGCTTCTAAATGAAGCACCTCACATGGTTTCCGCCACCAGCAAACGTTAGCTCATCTGTTTCTCGCTTGTGAAAATTACTATAGATTATTTATTTATTGATGAAATCTTTGAATAACAAGGTCCTCCCTCCTTTGATTTGTCAGGCAATTAAATTATATGCAAATAATTAATGAGAATCTTATTTTTCAATTGACAACTTGTGATTTATTTGAAAATATATATTGCTCATAAAATATGTTCCACAAATATATTTTAGCCAGTAGGTGCATTTCATCACTTTAAAATTTCATGAAAGTCTAGGCATGATAAATACTAAGTGAGGCACGGTAAGGATCATGCTAAATCCCGATATATGATTAAAATAAATGAGTGAACAAATATAAGCCATAAATAAGTGTAGTCAGATAAACTGATCATTATTCTCCTAATAATTGAGATAACAAGTAACACATTAGTTTATTTACTGAAATATAAACACTTTCTACTTGTTCTGGCATTCAGGAGTATTGTTCACTTGCTCTTCACTACTCGATATTTCAGTCCTAATATTTGCACTTCCATCCAAAATGACCAGAAGTAATTGAAGCACAGTATGACTTTGCCTGTTTTTGCCCTGATATCTTTGGGACTTTGTCCACAAGCTTTCTCCGTCTGAAATATGTTCCCAATTTAGACTTTGGCAGTATTAAGACATGGCCTCAGATTCTCTGCCATTCCTCTCATTGACAAGTTTGGTGCACGTCCCCTTCTGCAGCATACAGACTTATGATTGCTTTCAAACAATGGAGTTCAGCCAATGTGATTCTGTATGACTTCCAAGCTGGAGCACGTTCCTTCCATCTGGTTCTCCTGAAACATTTTTTGATGGCAGT